GAAGTCAGTACTCTTAACCTCTGAGCCATCTCTCCAGCCCAGAAAATAACTTTTTAAAAACCTGTTTTTTAAAAAAGAAGGACTAGCAGTCAAAATCATCTTATTTACACACATACACCTTAAGTTGGCGTGCTAAGTGTGATGGGTAATGTTGATTGTCAACTGACAGGACTTACAGTCACCTAGGAGACAGCCTCCAACCACACTAAGGAATTATCTAGATTAAATTAGCCTCTGACCATCTATGAAGGATTGTCTAGATTAGATTCACTGAAAGGGAAAATTCACCTCCCAAAAGGCAGCATCTTTCCCTGGGCGTGGGTCCCAGCTGGACTGCACGTAAAAGAGAAAGTTTGCTGATTCTGCATGTTCATCATTCTTTGCTTCCTGCCTATGGATACAGTGTGACTAACTGCTTCCAGCCCCGAACAGGGACCTGCTACTGTGATGGAATAAATCCTTGAAATTGCTTTGCTTCAGGACTTTGGTTGTAGCAACAAGGAAAGTAGCTAAAACAAGTAACGGCACAATAAATCAAAAATGAAATTAGCAAACCAAACTCTAGAAAACAAAACAAAAACATAAATAGAATGACTGGAATAAAAGTGGATACCTTAAAACCAAATGCTCAGAAACCAAAACACAGTATTCAAATAAGATCTTCGGTCAAATAAAAATGAACCGGGGGATCCAAGAGATGATGCAGCAGTTAAGAGCATCTGCTGCTCTTTCAGAGGACTGGAGCTCTGTTCCCAGCTCACAGCTGCCTGTAACTCCAGCTCCAGGGGATCCGACATCCTCTTCTTGCTTCCTGGGTGTTCAAACATGCACTTAATAGAGCTTGTCAGGGACTAGAGCTCTCTTCCCACTTTGCTGTCACCCCCCCCCCCCCCCATTTTGCCTGTCTGAACACTTGGCTGCTACATCCTAGCCACCACGTTCACACTCCTGCAGAATTCGGGCGCAAGGAGAGGAGAGCCACCTCTGTCGTCACACGAGCAAATGCCTCCTTGGGCGCTCTGAGCAGATCTCAGAATCAAGCCGCATGGCCTGCTGTAGTGTGGCTTCTTTCTCCTTTACTATAACATGGCCATCCCATCCTCGCCCGGAGTTGAGATAACCTTGGCCCAGTAGTCATGGCGTCGAAATAGCAACAATAGCAGTAACAATAATAGAGCTGTTGAAAGTCCCAATAAAAGGAGTAGGGAAAGAAAATCACTGTGTGATTCCAGCTTTCCCTTTCTCCTGCCCCACCCCTCGCTGCAAGTTATCTTGAGGGATGTGGGAGTATTTAGGAAGTCGAAGATTAGTTAAAAATGGAACTCTCTAATGCATCTTCCACAAGGTTTCTTACAGTGGCCCAGCTGTTTTGGGGTCACCCACACTCCTGTAGGTACCCATCCCCCCGTAGGCCCAAGAAACTCAGGTATTTGCCAAGGTCGGCCTGGGAAGAACTGCTGCATTGCCTGAGTGGACAGATGTTTATTCCCATCTCACCAAGGAGCCTGCCACAAACAAGGTCTCCTTCCTCTGTGACAGAAAGCCCGATCAGGACCTACCAGGAAGCAGCCAAGAACAGACGCTGAGTGGGTGACTCACAAACAAAGGAGTGGAATTCTGTGGCAGACCCCGTGGCCAGCTTGCTGGGAAGGTGGTGGGTGGAGGCTCTGGGGTTGCTGCTCAGGGCCTGCACCAAGGTAATGTGGCTTGATGGGGGCTTTATTCTTAGAGTCTCCTTCAGCCCTCCTGCAGGATAGGAGTTAGTCCCAAGGCCAGCAGTGGAGAATATTTTGGTTCAAGAGCAGCAGCATAGGAAGTGGCTGCCCCCAGCTTCCAGTTGCCTGGGTGGATGGGGTAATCTTACGGCCAGATGGATGAGGACGCAGCTGGAGGATTCATCTCGTTTCTAGCACTGAGCTCAGTGAGATCTACTGAAGACCTGGTGGAAGCTAAGGACACGCATCATCACCTCGCCTGGTGTTCTATATGTGGCCCTGAGACTGGCGCTTTATTATTTTAATGATTTATCCGTTTACTTTATATACATTGATTGCTGATTAGCATGCATGTACGTCTGTGTGAGGGTGTCAGATCCCCTGACACTGGAGTTGCAGTTGTGAGCTGCCATCTGGGTGCTGGGAATTCAACCCAGGTCCTCGGGAAGAGCAGCCAATGCTCTTAACTACTGGCCATCTCTCCAGCTCCAAGACTGGTACTTTATAAAGATCAGAGTTTGATGCAGCCACAGCATTGGGGCTGGAAGTTACCAATGGGTGGCCCTATCAGTGGAGGCCTCCAGCTTAATCATGTTGTGAGGATGGCATCAGGGCTTTTCTGTGTAGCCCTGACTGTCCTGGAACTCACTCTGTAGACCAGGCTGGCCTCTAACTCAGATCCACCTGCCTCTGCCTCCTAAATGCTGGGACTAAATGCATGCACTACCACTGCCCAGTGCTCTCAACATTCTTATCACCACCAAATTCCTACAAAACAGCTCACTGACCTCTCGACTCTCAATGGCTTTTCTAGCCCAAAGTTCCAAAGACCTTCCACAATCTTCCCCAAAACATGGTCATGTCTGTCACAGTAACACCTCGTTATCCTGGAACTAACATGTTTTAGTTAAGGTTTCTATTGCTGTGATGAAACACTGTGAACAAACAAGCCAAGAAAGAAAGGGTTTATTTGGCTTACACTTCATACCATGACTCATCGTCAAAGACATTAGGACAGGAACTCAAAAGGCAGAATCTGGAAGCAGGAGCTGCTGCAGAGTCCATAGAGGAGAGTTGCTTCCTGGCTTGCTCCCCATGGGTCGCTCAACCTGGTTTCTTATAGAACCCAGGACCACTAGCCCAGGTGGCCACACCCACCATGAGCTGGGCTCTACCTGGAGGTGTCGCAGCTCAGAAGGTCCTGGCAGTTCGAGGTGAAGTGTTCCGGCATTCGGGAGCCAGGAAATAGCACAGACCACAGTAAGGGGAGCAGCTTAGAGCCCTGCTCTAGGGAAGGCTTGCCCAAAATGACAGCTCTGATCTGACAGGAGGGGGCTTCCCAGCGAAGTTGTTACAACTTGGCCCTGGTGCTTCAGAGTGTAACAACTTTGCTCTGCTAGGGGAAGGCTTCCCAGCCAAAGTGTTCCGGTCCTGCTGCTCCACTCAATTCTGCTTCTGAATTCCCCCAGCAAAGTTGTAACAACTCAGCCCTGCTATGGGGAGGCTTCCCTAGCAAAAGTGTTACAGTCTCGCTCTGCTCCAGAAAAAGAAAGTCTTCATGCAAACCACACTCAAGAGATTTATTGGGAGGGAAGAGTCCAGGAGAGTGGCTACCTCTACCAGAGTGGAAGAAGAGCAGCCCCAAACTGAACAGGAGCAGGACTTATATAGGGCTTCTTAGGAGGTGGAGTTTTCCCAGGGGGATGAGGGATTGGCTAGTTTTTCCCTGCTCAGGGATTGGTTAGTTTAGTTGATCAGGGGCAGAGATGGCTGATTTCAGAGCCAAATTGTGGTTCTTTTACTGGCCTTTTTGTCTCTAGTTTTGGGGCCAGGGCATGTTTCTTTCACTGACTCTGATTCTGGGGACAAAGGGTTTCAGAGGCAGGGCATGTTTCTTTGGTTCTGGGTTCAGGGCTAAAGTATGTTTTTCACTGGCTCAGGTCTCAGAACCAGAGTGTGTTTCTTTCATTAGCTCTGATTTCAGAGCCAGAGTGGGTTTCTTTTGGCTGCCTCTGGTGTCAGAGCCAGTGTGGGTTTCTTTGGCTGGCCCTTTTACCCTACTAATTAAGAAAAGGAAATAAAGAAAAAAGGCTTGCACACAGTCAGATCTTAAGGAGGCATTTTCTCAATCGAGGTTCACTCCACGCAGATGACTATAACTTGTGTAAAGTTGACATGAAAGTAGTCAGCACAGCCCCTTCTCAAGCTTCTCACCCATTGGTTTAGGACGCAAAAGCCTTATCTAATGAATTTGGGGGTTGAGAGTGTCCCCTTCTCTGATCATGGCTCAGCCTGTGACTGTCCAACTCTTCCAGTTGAGACCAGCAGGTGGCAGCCACCAGCAAGGGGAGAGCCACTTAGAGGCTCTGCTTATGTGACTTGACTCTATGCTAAAGATTTTTCTACACAAGCCCACCCGGGAAGCTGTGACCACACACCTTCCCTCTCCTGTGGCTGTGGGAACCCCCGAGAGACTCCCACGCAGGCAGCTGGTGTGATGGCCTGTACTCCACGCTGCAGACTGGGTTCTCTGAAGTGTACACCTCTCTGCCTTCTTTTGTTTCCAGGTTCTCCAATACCTGATGGTGTCTCTAATCGTTACTTTTAAAGTTCTGCATGTAAAGCCTAAACTACTGCAATGAGTGTGGCCAAATTACCCTCTCCCACCAGAAAACGGAGATGTATTCAATTAGTCATTCAAAAAGTAGTTCCCAAGTGTTTACAATGGGCTTGGCGTGGAGGACACACGGAATCTAGAGGCAAAGTCTAGGCTCGCATTAAGCCTCCTTGGATTAGACAATGATTGAGAATAAGTACGGTTGGAGCCAAGTGTTGACAGCTGTGTCTACTGGTGGCCTGGGACGGAGCTCTAACATCCCCGAGCTGCTAGTGGTTCTCCAAAAACGGGTGACTGGTACGTGGACTGCTGCTTTTCTGTAGGCCCCAGTTCACATGCAGGAGCGGGGGCTTGGACAGGAGGATTCTCAGGGTTTCGAGGACGAGAGCCTCAAAGGCCTGAAGGGCACACCCTTCACCTGGGGCGGGGCGCTAGGCTGTGCCTGTTGGGCCACTCTGCGTGCGGCCACAGCGCCACCTTCTGGCCAGAGGTAACTCTAGCATGTGACTTTCCGCGGGCCTGAGTCCCGCAGCTGCTTCTCATCACTCAGCTCTCCAGCCTGCAAGCTTCAAGCACGACCAAGCTAGTGGAGTCACAGTCAGGACCCGGCCTTGGAGGTTAGTTTCACGCGACGCAAAGGAAGATGGTCCCTGTGGCCGTCAATTTCACTGCGCCTGCGCACTCTATTCTTGAACAAACGCCGCGCTGAGAAATTTGTCCCAGATGGCTTACCATCTGTTTCCAAGGCAACCCAGGAGCCTCCTGGCAACGGCACGCGGCCTACGCGGGTCTCCCGGCCCAGCGGTGCGATGGCTGCTGCGAGTCCCAGCGTCTTCCTGCTCATGGTCAACGGGCAGGTGGAGAGTGCCCAGGTGAGCTGCCGTGCACCCTGCCCAGGGCCGGCCCGTTCCCCTCCCCGAATTCTTCCCTCATTTTCTAGGAGCCAAGTCATTGCTCCGATCCTCTCAGTTGGAAAGGAGAACCAGCGTTTGAAAACATTGGCGCCAGATTTCTGGGCCCAACCCTCGAGACCTTCAGCTGGTACCAAAATCACTCTGTGGCCTCCAGCTTGGATCCTGTCTACTTGGTTGAGCGATGGGCTGGGGCTAATGGGAGTGAGGGCTCCGCTGACGCTCTTAACAGCTAGGAAAACTTACCACTTAGGCAGTGGCCAAGTGAGATTCGGATCTACATCTGACTCTCAGAACTTGGCTACATTATTCTTATGGGTTGCTTGTTGAAAATGCTCATTATTCCCACTTATTCTGAGGTTTGACTAGGTGATTGACGTTCTGCCAGGCCCGAGGTTCAGTAGGTTTTCCTGCCTTCCTGATTGACCAGGTACTGGCTGCATCCTCCTGTTTTATTCTATCCAATGGAAGGCTGCCCAGCTGGGCTGAGTACTGTAGCCTCCTCTCTACGTCTTCTGCTCTGGGTCCTCCCTTCTCCCAGGCCTTCAGTTCTAGCCATAGAACTGTAGCTTCCCGGGTTTCACATCAGCATGGTTCCTGTAGATCTAATTTGTGCCCAGCACTGGGGACACACAGAGGCATAAAAACCTGTTCTTTCCTCAGTCAGACAGGGTTAGCAGACATAGGCGTTGGGTACCTGGATGCAGACATGCAGAAGGCAAAGGGAGCCAAGCAATTATCTTTAGCCAGATAAGGAGTGAAGAACGGGCTCCGTGAGTGTGAATCTGAAGCGTGGGCAAGGGGCCAGTCTGGAACTAACCCCAACTTCCTCATTTCTGTCCCCTGCCCTGCTGAACTCCACCCCCTCCACCCCAGGTGCCTCACGCGCCTAATTCCTACCCACTGCACTTGTCTGGCTAATGTGTGGGCTCAATTTGCATTCCCTAAACAGAATCCTGCGTGCTTTTCTCTCAGTTTCCAGAGTATGACGACCTCTACTGCAAGTACTGCTTTGTGTATGGCCAGGACTGGGCCCCCACATCGGTAAGTTGAACTCCTTGTAGTGATTCCTGAAGTATCTGCCATGCCCTTCTATCCCAGACCCAAGAGGTAGACACTGAGGTCAGAGAGGACCCAAGCATGAGTTTGCCCTGGCAAAGCTAGGTTACAGAATACAGCCACTGCTAGGTTCGCTGATACAATTCTTGGAGTCTGCTGGTGGCAGCCAAGAGGGACAAATGGCAGCATAAGCTGCCAGACCCTGGAACACTGCCTGCCAGTGGCTGTGAACACCATCAGCCAGTAACCCCCACCCCCAAGGCTGGCCCCTCCTCAGACAGCAGAGATTGAAGAATCACCTCTCAGGGGTTTGAGGGCAGTCTTTCACCGCAGGAAGGGGCTGTGTGCAGACCACTGCCACGCCATGCTTTCCTGCTCGCACGGTGCTCACTGAACCCTCACAATAGCTTCAAAAGCAGAAGCTAGCCAAAAAAGGTTTGTGTACCTGCAGTCCAGCACAGAGGCTGAGGCAGGAGCATCTCTGGGAGTTCAAGGTTAACCTGGGCTACATATATAAGACCCAAACAAATGGGAAAATAAAAAATGTGGAAGCCCAACTTCTTTGAGCCTGGGCTTCTTCATGCACCAATATATGTTAATACTTTTTTGTTTGTTTTCTTTCTCTCTAATGGGACTTATATTTTTAAAAAGATGCTTCAGTATTTATTAGAGATTTATTTGATCTTAAATGTATATGTGTATGGGTGTGAATGCAGGTGGTTGGGGAGGTCAGAGGTCAGATCTCCTGGAGCTGGAGCTTAGGTGGTTGTGAGCTGGAGAGATGACTGAGCAGTTGAGTGCATATTCTTTTTTTTTAAAATATTTATTTATGTATACAATATTCTGTCTGTGTGTATGCTGCAGGCCAGAAGAGGGCACCAGATCCCATTACAGATGGTTGTGAGCCACCATGTGGTTGCTGGGAATTGAACTCGGGACCTTTGGAAGAGCAGGCAATGCTCTTAACCTCTGAGCCATCTCTCCAGCCCCTTGAGTGCATATTCTTGCAGAGGACCCCAAATTGATATCCAGCACCCACATGGCTCACAATAATCTTTAACTCTAATCCCAGGGGATCTGATGCCTTCTTCTCGCCTCCATAGACACCAGGCACATATATAGTACACAGACATGCAAACAGACAAAACTCAGTAAAATGAAATTTTTAGGGAGGGGTTTTCAAAACAGGGTTTCTTTGTGTAGCCCTGACTGTCCTAGAATTCGCTAATAGACCAGGCTGGCCTCAAACTCACAGAGATCCTTCTGCCTCTGCCTCCTGAGTTCTGGGATTAAAGGTGTGTGCCACCACCTCCTGGCTATAAAATGAATTTTAAAAATGATTTTGTGTGTACAAGCACATGCACACATGTGCTACAGCACACACGCTGGCGACAGAGGACAACTTTTCTGGAGCTGGTTCTCATCTCCCACCTTGTTTTAAGGCAGAGACTCTTGTTTCTTGCTGCTGTATTTTGTACTCCAAGAGCTTCTCCTGCTATTCCCCGTCGTCTCCAGCGGCTCTCACACCAGGGCTGTTCTCCTGCTGTTCCCCCGTCACACCTCACACCGCCACACCAGGGCTGTTTATCTGTTTGTTTTCCATGGTTCTGGGATGGAACTCACTCAGGCTGTCAGGCTTGTGCAGCACATGCTTTTACCCACAAAGTCATCTCATGGGCCCAACAGTTTTTAGGAATTATTACCGAGTCCTCTGGGAGTGACCAGTGCCTGCCAGATGTTCCCATTGTAGAGGAAACCAATACAATAAGTAGGACACACTCTAGTCTGTTAGTCAGAGATGAAGAGGAGGAAGAGGACAGTGCATCGGGAGCTAGAGCATACAGATAACAGGGAGGACAGACTCTAGACCAAGGCACTTTGGGGTAACTATCTTAAAGAAAGGTGGGAACAAGCCACGCAGAAAAAATTGAAATGGCCTTCCTACATAAGTGGAAGGGGCATGAGTAGCTGGACCTGAGACCAGCTGTCTTTGTCACTGTTTGTACAGGGCCTGGAGGAGGGGATCTCACAGATAGCATCCAAGAGCCAAGATGTACGGCAAGCTCTGGTGTGGAACTTCCCTATCGATGTCACCTTTAAAAGTACCAACCCCTATGGCTGTGAGTCTGTGGGTCCTGATGGGAGGGGCGGGGCCTCTGCTGCACTTCCCACCACTGCCAGTGGCTTGGTTTGTGCCCCAGCCTTTGATGTGCTCAGCATCCGCCTGTTTTGTGGACTGCCATTTGCACACAGAGCCTGGTGTACGGTGCTGCCACCTAGCTGGAGGGTCTGACCCCAGGTTGCTCAACCTCTCATTGCCTAGTGCTCCAGTACCTGCTCGCCCTGTGCTGGTGGCATGGGACACTCTTCTGAGCCTCCCCCTCATCCCACAGCCACCCTTCTAATCTGAGCCCTCACCAAGCTAGCAAAGCCATGGAGGCTGAGCAGACCAGGTCAGTGCTGATCTGCCAAGGCTGGCAAGCGTGTAGTGGCGGCAGCTCAGAGAACACCCCTGAGGGAAGCTCCCCTGGAGAGTAGTGTAATGTGAACCCATGAAAGTGAACAGGACCTGCCTGTCTGCGTGAGTCCCTTCCTGAGCACACACCCAGCAGTGTGCTCACGATGGGTACACGAGTGTATCAAGAGCCTGTATGTGAGTGATCTGACTCACTGCAGCAGTTCTCCAAGGAGGAGCAGCCCGTGGGCCCTCACTCCTCACAGCTGACTGTGGTACAGCTGTGGTGATCTGGTATTTGGTGTTGAGAATGAACAAACCACTATATACGAACTGAGTAACTCCCAGGTTACTTTTGGTGGCAGAGTAGTAGAGGGAAGGGCACAGATTTCGTTAACCTTTACTAAGCACCTCATGTCTGGTACTATTCCAAAGGCTTTAGACACAAGAAAGCTGAGGACAAAAAAGCTGGGAAACTTGTCTGAGGCCATTCAGCAGTAACCACAGAGCCAGCTTCCAGGCCTCCCCTTTCATCTGGAGTTACAGCAATCTGCTCTGCCTAGAGGTCAGACACCTAGAGGAGGAGGCCTGGCTGCCCTGGCTGCAGGTGATGAGGAAGCGTATGTAAACATCAGTATGTTAAGGAGAAATGCCTGGAAGGCTCTCAGAACTTTCAGAACAAGCCCCTCCCACAGAGTGTCATAGTTTGGGAAGACTATATCCATCAGAAAGGAAGAACGCAGGGCCCCAGGATTGGCCCAGAGCCTCCAAAGGACCCCAGGATTGGCCCAGAGCCTCCAAAGGACTTCCTGTCTACCCAATGTCTTGGCTCTCCCCAGCTATGAACAGAGGTATGGAGAGTGCTTCCAGGGCACCAGCAGAAGCCCAGAAAGTAGTAGGACAGAAGCCCTGGGTGTGGACAGGATTCCCAGGGCCTTGGCCAGCATCCTGAGTCCCTGCTCCAGACCTCAGCCAGGCACATTATGTGCTGATCCCCTACCCTTGTTTCCCCACATGCCAACCTTGTCCTTCCCAAGGGCCACAGATCGTGCTCAGTGTGTATGGACCAGACGTGTTTGGGAACGATGTGGTCCGAGGCTACGGAGTGGTGCATGTACCCTTCTCTCCTGGACGGTAGGTGCCCAGTCTGCCCCTTACTGGGCAGACAAACCTTGGGGACAGCACTTTTAGACAGCAGGCTTTCTGGTCATTGCCCCTTCCTTGGACTTGGGCAAGATATATTCAGGGGCCCAAGCGGCCTGGGTATAATCTACACCTGGAAAGAGACACACGTAGGTGGGATGCCTGTGCTACTGGAGAGGAATGGAGGTGGGTGTAGAAAGAACAGGTCCTATGTGCCTCCGCACCCCTTCATCCGTACAGGCTTGCACCCTGGCCTGTGAAGGTTTCCACAGGGCCAGGACTGTTCCTCAGCTCATCTGTGTGAAAACATCTGTTTCAGGCACAAGAGGACCATCCCTATGTTTGTGCCGGAGTCTACATCTACTCTGCAGAAGTTCACAAGGTGGGTCTTCCACTTGCAGCCTTGCTGCTCTTGAGCTAATGGGTAACCAGCTGGCCAGCACCTTCCACCCTTTCAGGTCTTCACAGGCAGCACCTAGAGACAGATGGAAACAGGAATGTAGGCAGGAGCACTGCCAAATCCTTGGGCTTCCTTGGCCACTTTCTGGCAGCTTAAGGCTATGAGACTCTCTTCTGTGTCCTGTGTGTCTTTGTCATGTGGACATGTTTGTCAGGCTGCAGCAGCATGAGGCAAACTTGTCATGGGTACCCCTGGGAAGCTACTTTAGGTAGGAACAGGAGCAGAGTCAAGCAGCAGCCATGAAGAATCCAGGAACCATGTTCCATACCCAGGGCCCTGAGAGCTTTTGCAGTTCCTTAGGAAAACTGAAGAGTTAGGAGCAGCTAGAAAGTTGCTGCTGCCAGCAAGTGTGAGGGATTGGGGGTGGGGGGTGGGGGTGCATGGAGGAGCCAGGACACAGCATCAAGAAGGTCCCAGAGAACAGAACAAGAGCCTTAGAGATAGCCCAGAGGGAAGGCCTTTGCCACATCCAAGTAGGGGTTTGAAGGGCCTGCTAGCCCAGCTAGCTGCCTGTCACCTCTGCTCCCCGTTAGGTTGACGAGGATGAAAGGCAATGAAGGGCCACTGGGGCCGGACGGTGGTGGTGCACGCCTTTAATCCCAGCGCTCAGGAGGCAGAAGCAGGCGGATCTCTGTGAGTTCGAGACCAGCCTGGTCTACAAGAGCTAGTGCCAGGACAGGCTCCAAAGCTACAGAGAAACCCTGCCTTGAAAAAAAAAAAAATAAATAAATAAAAAAGAAGGGCCACTGGGTTCCCAGGCAGCAGCCAGTGTGCAGCCTCTTATAAGCTAGTTTCAGGCAGAGAGGGACCTGGCCAGAGTCCTACAGCCCTGGAGAAGAGGCCTGGACCTGTTTTGAGGGGGCTGAAAAAAGGGTTCTGGGCTGTAGGAGGACCTACTGGCAGCACCTTGCCTATGCCTGCCTGGATAACCCAGGATAATCCCCACCTTGCAGCAATCTTAGTAACTCCTCACAAAGAAGTCTGCCTTCCCAATGTCTTCAGTCCCTGCCTAGTAGCCTTAGAGCTGTTACTCAGCCACTGCAGCCCCTCCCTCCACCCCAGTCTTGCAAAGCCAGTAGGGTGGTATCACTGCTGGAAGCTGCCTTGGCACACCCTCTTCACTGAGGAGTCACTTGAGCCAGGATGCCAGCAGCCTCTTTCTTGCTTCCCATTTGCCTGGCCTTTGATTTTTTTTGAGCCCACTAGGTTCTGCTCTGCCTCAGCCCTTGCCTGTAATATTCTCCCTGAACAGTCTGCCTCTTCTCAGATGAGAAAACCAAATGTAAATTAGAAGAGAACTGGGACCCAGCGAGGGTGGGATGTGCCTTTATTGCCAGGGATTTTCTCTAAGACTCCTCAGTACTGAGGTGAATAGAGCTTTGCTCTGATGGGAAAGCAGGAAGAGGTGTATATATACACACGCACACGGCCAGTGTCTTCTGGAATGCTTAACTTCAGGACCCTGCCCCTCTCCCCCTTAGGTTATCTGAACAGCAGTGCATACTGTTGTTCCCTCAGGACCCCCTGCCCTGCCCAGCAGTCCAATAGGGCTGCTGAGGTCTAGCCTGGGAGCCCAGGGATCCAGCCATGCCCTCAGCATAGTTATGGGTGGTGGATGTATAGTCATGGTTACCTTTCAAGTCTGCTGCAAAGTGCCCAGGGAAAAGACAGAACCCTACCTCCACAGGCAAACAGGAATGCTGGTGTAGTAGTCCCACAAAGTCTGAGTTGGTCCTGGTTGCTGTGCTTCGGCTAATCCTGTCTGCCCCAAGCCTATGGTTCCCAGCAAATTGCTGGGCCTGTACATCCTGTCAATGTGCCTCAGAGGCCTGAGTGGGGCCCAAGATCTGAAGTCAGGGTGCAGTGAGATTGTGGCCTATGTGGGTTCCTGGGCATTTGTAGAAACTGCTTTTGAGTTTGCCAGCCAGAGCCTGGGGGGCTAAATGGTACCCCTAGCATCTGGGACTTTAAATGTCAGGTGACTTGTTACCCAGATTCTCCCAAGGGTAACGTTCTGTGGTAGCTGACAGGGTGCCTTCGCTTTTGTCCCATGAGGTAGGTGCGATTATCTCTTACTGTAGACAAACAGGTTCAGTGACAGGGTGGGACTTGTTCTGAATCCCATGAGGCAGTTTGGAGAGCTGAGTCTGGCACTTCTTGAGATTGGGTTCTCTCCCGAGGAGGCTAAGGGTCACACTGTCATCCTGCTTCTCCTCTCCTGACTCATCTGCTTTTTTGGGGGGTGCCCATGGGATCAGGTTGTGCTTGGTGATGCAAACCCACAAGACTTGCCTGGGTGGGCTGGGTACTTCGTGGAGCACCTGGCAGAAGCACTGCCATAGACCCCAACAGGGGACATCTCCTGGAACCCCACCTGACCTCCAGATAGGCAAAAGGTTGTCCTACACTTAGAGGATGCCAGGAGCACTCCTGTTCTGTGTCTGAGGCCAGCAAGTTCCAAGTGTTCCTCACTGGTGTTTTCCTATGTCCTCAGCTGGTTCATGGGACGGCGGCCAGAGTACACAGACCCCAAGGTGGTGGCCCAGGGTGAAGGCCGAGAAGGTAAGACTGATGTTCCCAAGCCTAGCTGAAGGGATGAGGTGATGGGTGAAGGCCAGGGAGCTGTCAGACAACTGGAACCTGGTAATATACCAGTCACCCAAAGAATTTTCTAGAATACCTCCTACACAAGGGCTTCAGCAGGTAGTTTGCTATGTCTATCCCTGACAAACCCAGCTAATGCTCACCTCATGTCTCCAGTGACCCGTGTCCGCTCTCAGGGATTTGTCACCCTCCTCTTCAATGTGGTAACCAAGGACATGAAGAAGCTGGGCTATGACACTGGGCCTGTGGACACACAAGGAGTCCTGGGTTCCAGCCTGCCACAGGGCAACCCACAATGAAAGCATCAGCTTTTCTGTCCACCACCGTGGCCCCGGGACCCCATAGCCCACAGATAATCAAGGACTCAAGCAGCCTGACTGGGAAGTTGGAGAGTTGAAGATAGTTTTCTATAATAAAGTTTCACATTTTTTCAGAAATTCTGGGGCCTGGATTTCTTGCTTTCTTCATTAGCACCTCAGGCCTGGGGCTCAGCCTCCAGGACATGCCCCAGAAGGACGCAGTGCCATGCTGGAGTGAGGAGTTAGCCTCCCCCGAATTGCTAACTGACTTGCTCAGAGCCGAGGCCCTTCCGAGGTCCTCAATACTCATCTCTATCTTTCACGTCAGGAGGTTAAGTCTCGTTTCATGGCTGGCACTGTGGCTGTCCACCATATTCTACAACAAGTGTCCTGGGGACACCTGCCTTCCATCTTCCCTTCCTATCTCCCATGTCACCCGACCTCTAGTGCGCTGCTAGGAGCCTGAGGAAACATCTTGCTAGGGCAAGAAACATCCCAGGCAGGAGGCTGTGCCATCAGCACAACTTTCTGGCAGGCCCCACAGCCCAGCACCCTGGTATCTGTGGGAGAGCAACTGGGCCTCCAGTCTCCCCTTGCATGCAGGTTGGAGACCTAGCATGTACTGAGGCTGCTGCATCTGGCCTCTGCTGTCCAGCAGACACGCTGAACAAGGTCTTCACCATGTCTTCAAACCACCAGCCACACTCCTACACATCTGAGTTACATGCTCCAAGAACCCACCTGGGCCAAATTGCCTTTTACACACACACCCCTCAGCTGGGCTTTTGGAACTTTTGATCTGTCAGCAAAATTCCCTGAATGGCAAGCTCCTCCTGCCTTCTGAAGTGGCCCCGTCTCTCTGTAGATCCATCCTCTCCTATAGGACCACTTCAGCTTTCCAGATAGTTTCTTTGCAGTTCACCACTTCCAGACTGCTTCCCAAGGTCTAAGCCATCAACCCACACCAAAAGAGCTTGCTCTTGATACTCAGTTTCCTCCAGCTGTTCTTGTGGGTAGCCTTTTCCATACATAGCCTCCATACTTGCAGGGATGTTGACATCTGCATCACCCAAGCTTCTATCTCAGACCGGTACCTCCCTCGTGTGGACGCCTTTTTGCCATCCAGGACCTCCTGCAGCCCCAGTGTCCTGTCTGCCCATTAGCACACATGGGTGTCCTATGTACATACTCCACCTTCTGTGTTCCTTCCTTTATACTAGCTCAGCAGAATCTCATCTGCCATAGTGATCTCTTAATCCACCATCATACCCTGGGGACTTCACTCTGCCCAAAGTTCCTGAGTGTTCCTCAGGCCACTCCCACATGCCCACCCATCTTTAGACCATCAGCACACCTATACTCCCCATCTCAAGTGCCTCCTCTTACCCCGGAGATGCTTGCTACCTTGCAGAGGCCATACCACAAAAAACAACAACAACAACAAAAAAAACCCCACTGTTTTTTCCCCAATGTCACATTCGCAATGAGCAGTCCCCTCCTCAAGCTCACTTGTTTCAGCCATCACTAAGCTCTTGGTTCAGGAGCCCCTAATATGTCCTGCATCTAACCCTATTTCATTTGCAGGTCTCTTGCCCGACACCCATGCCACTTAGCCTTTTTCCACCTCCGAAGTATTGTCCCTTTCCAGTCCATCTCTGGCCTCAGATACCATGGGTTCATCTGCCAAAAGCTTTAACATAATGGGCTGCCCTCTTGTGTGCAAATGCCCCTTTCTTCAACACTATGAAGCTATTTAACCACAGAAAAGTTGAAATGACTTTACAATGAATAACAAACCTACCATCTAAAAATGTAGACATTTTCCTGTGGTCAGGATTCAATATCTGCAGGTTCCACAAACCAAAGTTCCAGGGCCACAAACCAATCATTTACAGAAATATGCAGACTCTTCTTGTCCCCACCCCTTGATCACAGCAATTGTTATCATTTTCATTGTGTTTGGTATTACCAGCCATCTACAGACGACTTCAAGTACAGGAGTCACCACATCTTCATGGAGTGAACACTATACAAACATTAATTTCACCATTTATACAGGGCATTTGAGTGTTCTCACATTTTGGTGCCCTGGTAGGGTTCTAGCCACCCAGGACACCAAAGAACAGAGACTGTACTTGCATTTTCCATTGGTCCATCTGTCCTCTCCAGTCCACCTGTGCTTAGCAAATCACAGGCCGTGGGTTGCAGCATGCATATTATTAGACAGAGTTCTGTATTAGTTATTCAAGTGAACGTTTACATCCAACAAGATTCACACAAATCTGTGCTGTATGATGTTTCGATGAATGCACACTCCAACCCCAATCAAGGCACAGAAAGGTACCTTCACTTCAGAGTCTCTGGCGTGCCTGCCAGTCAAGATGAGAGACCATGCAGTGGAAGACTTTGGAGGTCAATGGCTAAAGTGTGTCTAAAATGTAGGTGGGTGCCAGCCATGAGACCTTTTTTTTTTCTGTTATTTTTGTTTTGTTTTCCCCTTGACAGTGTTTCTTTGTGTAGCTTTGGCTGACCTGGAACTTGCTTGCTGTGTAGATTAGGCTGGCCTTGAACTCAAGGCCTTCCTCTGTCTCCCTTGTGCTAAAATTCAAAGTGTGCACCATCTCCACCCAGTGACGTGTGACTCCACTGTCACACAGTTGTGTTTACAGACTGTTCACTTTTTCATGGTCAAACTAGTAGACTACATGTAGGCTTCTTGTGTCCCACTGGGAAGCTTACAAAATGCTGCAAGATTGTCCACCATATAGGAACCCCCAGAGTGGCCCTTGCTCTTGTCCATGAAGCCCTTAGGGGCCCATGCTGAAGGAAGCATGATGAGGGAACCATCTGGTGTTAGGTTCTAGTCAGAAGGGATGCTGCAAGGACATCCCTGTTGGGCATTGGGAGGGGGGGATTTATTATGGATGCAGGGAACTTATTTCTGCATACACACTTGACCCAGAAACTGTGACAAGGAATGAGTTTATTCTGTGATTAAAAACTAGAAATGACTGTCTATGGTACAGACTACCACCAGGGTGGCAGGAGAGAACACACAGCGAAGAGCTACTGACAGAGCTCATGACAGGGTTTGTGGCTGAACCAACAGCTCTGTGGGAGGAGGGGAGGATGTCCCAGAAAAGCAACATTTGGGGAAGCACAGGACAGTGTGCAAATGCAAAAATGAACAGGAACAAAGAAAACTAAAATCATAAAATCATAAAATTAGGAAAGGACTGGGGAGACAGCTCAGGAGAGAGCACGGGCTGCTCTTCTAGAGGACCAGGATTTGATTCCCGGTGGCTCGCAGCTGTCAGCAACTGCAGTCTGCGGTGATCTATCACCACCTTCTGGCCTCCAAGGGTAACACAATGCACACAGCGTAGACACACATTCAAAAATACTCATACACAATTTAAAAAAAAAAATTAGTAAGAGAACTCTAAACTCAAAAATCTGAAAATCAAACCATAAAATCCTAGTCATGTAGCAAAGAACAAATGAAAAGCTGGCTGTGATGGCGCTCACCTTTAATGCCAGCACTTGAGAGGCAGAGGCAGGCAGATTTGAGTTCAAGGCCAGCCTGGTCTACAGACTGAGGTCAGGACTCTCAGGGCTGCCACACAGAAAAGCCGTTTCAGAGGTGGGGGTGGCTGTGGGGTGAGAAGCAGTATGTGTCCATGGAACTGACAAAAACAAAGAGCTTACTTAGAATTCTACATCACAGTCCATCACTGAAAGAAGTCTGGGCAGGAACCTGGGAGCAGAGGTCATAGAGGGGTGCTGCTTAGTGGCTTGTTCAGCCTGCTTTATTACAGCACCCAAGACCACCAGCCCAGGGACAGGGATGGCACTACCCAAAGGTGGCCCTCACCTACTGATTACCAAACAAGAAAATGCCCCTACAGGCCTGCCTAACGCCCAGTCCTATGGAGGCATTTTCTCAGTTGAAGCTCCGTGCTCTCCCAGTGACTCTCAAGCTTGTGTCTAAGTTGACGGGAAACCAGCCAGTATACCACCACAGGACCCAGAACAAGTCCCAGCTGGCAGCAGAAAGCTGGCTCCTAGCTGCTCAGAAGAGGGGCATCCTAGGCCCCTCCTGTGCTGGATGGCCCCCTGGGGCCCTAGTGCTGTCTTCAGTTCCTCCCACAGTACTCATTAGCAGCAGGGTCCCTCACCCTGTGCAGGAAGCCTGACTTAATGGAGAAGACTCTGGCCCCATAAACCCTAGATTCTTGGCTGAACACACAAAGGGCCTACACAGCCTCTTGTTCTGAGAGGTAAAACAGGCCTTGGTGCCCACAGGACCAGCTCTAACAATAACCAAGCCTGTTTCCTACTATGCGGGACCCTGGCAGACGGAAGCTCCTATGACACAGCATTTCTGGAGAGATGTGAAATAAAGCATGCTGGCTGGTTTTGTGTCCATCTGACATGAGACTTGTGAGGAGGCCTCAACGGGAGTGGGGTGGGGAGTGTCTTCATAAGTTCAGGCTGTGGGCAGGGCTGTAGGACATTTTCTTAATTAGTGACAGATGAGGGAGGGCCCAGCTCACTTTGGGCGGTACCATCCTTGGGTTGCTAGTCCTGGGCTCTGTAAGCGAGCAGGCTAAGCAAGCCGGTAAACAATGCTCCTCTATGACCTCTGCAGTAGCTCTTGCCTCCAGGTTCCTACTAGGACTTCCTTTAATAATGAACTGTGAATGCCGGGCCCAACACCTGGAAGGCAGAGGCAGGCAGGTCGGCTTTCTTTTGAGGTCAGTTTGGTCTACAGAGTTGCAGGATGGCCAGGGCTACAAAGAGAGACCCTGGCAGTGGGGGTGAGACTGATCAACAGTAAGTGATGTGTGCTAAGTTTCAAACCCAGGAGAAAAGGCGGAGGTGCCTATTTAACATCAAAGCAGACCTGGCTGCCAGGTTCTCCCAGCATCCCTCAGTCTCTATCAGTTACAGGGTTATGGATTATAGAATACCCCACCCTCTACCCTGAAGTCTCCAGCCCAGGGGTGGGCTGCCTTTCCCCCAGAGGCTCTTGCCCAAATAATCCAGACATTTTGGTTACCCTCCCCCTCTTGTACCTTTGTCCTCCTGAGTGGATCCCCTCTCTCCCATTCCTTCCCTGGTCATGTCCACTCTGG